GCCAGGTGCATGCCATTTAGAAAGCAGGCCTAAAGACGTTCAGCCAGCTCTCAAGGTAACATTTAGCCGTAGCAGCAAATTGCCGCCACGTTACCAGCGGGAACTACTTGGTTGGGGTCCGCGTGACTTTCGTAACCAATGGTTGGAGACTCTTGGTGACATGGCTCAGAATCGATCACAGTGGCGTCGGTGTATACACTCCCTGTCTTCCCTTGAACTAAGAGACTAAAATCACTTCATTCTTTCTGTCTACGAACTAATTCTTTCTTCCTATACTATATCCTTATTGCAACCTTTGACCTAACCACTCCTATGAATCCGGTGTTCATCTTGCTGTGCTAATGAGGTATGGCAACCTGGACCGATGCACATATGTGCCTGGTCCTACGTTGTAGCTGACTGACTGACTGACTGACCAGCGGGAACCACGAAGAGGTAGCTACCCTGCAACTACAACCCCCAAAAGGCAACTAAAAACCTCCTCATTAGATGACGAGGCATTTGGCTACCTTAAGAGAGTCATAGTTACTCCCACATGATAAAAATTAACTGATATAACTGCCTAAACATTTATGGTGCAATTTTACATGGGATACAAGGGATAGACCCTGGCGGAAATGTGAATTAGCCAAACTTATCATATCAAGTCAGTCAAACGAGATGACAATAAAAAGCAAACAGTAAACGAGTCTAAATAACTGTACCGGAATAGATACTGAGAGAAACTAAACATTAGAGAATATGGTCCGGAAAAAGTATACATGAAGGAATATTGAAACTAATGATCTAAAGGAGGATGGAGAATGAATGTATTTGTTCCACTAAATCCGGTTTTAAACTATGTTATCTAGTCACTCACCAACTAGTAATTGAATGGAGCCCAACTAGGTAGTGAGGATGTACCAGCACACTTCAGTCTAACAGTGAATGATTCCATGGACTGACCAACCGACATGTCATTTTTGTTTAGTACTTATGCCTAAACTCAAAACCGTTCACTCAATCGTTCCACAATATTCGAGCAATTTTTGAAGATACCTATGATCAAAATCTTTAAAGTATCGATGCCAAACGTGACTTTAGCTTGACAGTAATATGGACGGATGAGTTTTAAAAGCATTTTTAAGATGGAGAAGGCATGTCATAACTATGTAAACAAAATAGATGATTTATATGCACTGAAAATACGAGACTTTAGAATAGAGATATATATACATTTGCAACAACAAGGAACACGAGATCTCATTACTATTCTATTTGCTTGCATGTATCTCTCTTTTGAATGTGAATAAAATTGAGTTTTAATTTGAAATCAACAGAATAATTGGAAATTAAACGTGATTACTATTCAAAATCTAGCCAAGATAATCACACAAACGACAGAAAACATAAATACACACATGTGTAGACATCGGGTTTTAAAAAAGTCATCATACCCATTGGTGATATTGCTTTAAATTGTAATCGTTGCAGCGCCTCATCCGTATCATAATCACAACGCATTAACAAGAATAAAGCCTAAAAATAAAATAATGGTAAATAATAAAATAGAAAGATAAATATGTGGTTGAAATCGTGTTTGAGTCGTTAAGATAACAATTATAAGCTAAGACTGTAGACCTTATTGGTTATTCCTGCGGTTAAACAAGTGTACTGATGAGGTATAAAACTTAACACTAAATGAACGATAAAACATCTGGTATATGCATTCCGAGTGAGTATAAAGTAAAACGGACATTCTAATTTAATGAATTAAACTTAAATTGCCTATAGTATTTTCGAGAAATCAGTGTATTTCAGCATTACTACTTTACTTATTAACGAGTAGTCAAGGTGGAAAAATGTGAACTTAGAGCATAACTTTAAACATAAAGACCGAAGTTACCTCTTCGTCGTCTATTGTTCGTTCAGTAGGCAGTGTTGACAAAACAACTTGGGCATATGATCTCTCAAAGCGTGTGACATCAGCTTCACAGAGCTTTTCCGAAGGTTTCCATACAAGACTAGATTCTTGAAAAATCCGTTCAGAACCATAATACGATGATCGACTTTCATCACATTGATTCTCCATTACATTTGATGCTAGGGCAAGCATAGGGATATTTGCCTGATAATCTTCACCAATTTTTATCTCCTATTTAACATGTTGCAAATGTGAAGAGAGAAAATAGAGTTTCAGAAAATAAGTAATTTAAGTACGTAATATGAAGTTCGTACTGTTGGCCAATGAATTATAAATATTAGCATGATGGGATTATGGAGAATGCTAAACTTTTAGTTTACATCATGGGTTTTTCATTGTTAGAGAACCGATGAAAACCAGGAAGTATTGTACGTAAATTTTATCTTAATATAGGACTCCTCAGCACTGAGCACCCGCGACTCCACAACATGGATCGAATTCGAGATTTCTCGTCTAGCGGTGTGGTGCTTTATACTACGACGAATCAGTTGTCTAGTGCTTTGTTGTTTTTAGTGGCTCTTTAAGATCAGTTCGCGATGTAAACCATAAAGATAAAACATATGTCGTCTGTATTTATGATTCCCATAAAAGATTAAATTTCCTATAATTGCAAACACGAAACATATTCTTGTGTAGTTTTCCGTTACGAGGTGAAGTCACTTAATGTAGTGGTTATGAAAAACGATATAAAATTCGAGCCACCATCTGTTGATATTTCCTGGCAATATTGATCGAGACATATGTGTAGGTAATTAAGGAATTACTAAAAGATGATTCAAAACTTTAGGCAGTGAGGGTGGTGCATAAGCTTAACTTTTTCTTTTATTTCAATAGTTAAGATGAGGAATCTGAGATATCGTTTTACCCTCAATCGTATGATTGTTCCTGCCATTAATATAATATTTTCTTAAAAGCTGTATCACTTTGTTTTGATAAATTGCTTTGAAAGCAGATATGAAATATCTGCAGAAAGTATCAAGCCGAGTTTTAAATCTTGCACAAACTTAAAGTGATCAATTATTGTTGGGGTTCGAACAGTGGAGTCCAGGTTTTAGAGATTTATCCTCTTCATAACATATGACACGCTGCACAACGCAGTTTGATTCCGTTTTAAACCATAGCTGAACATGAGCTGGACTAAATTAATTAGTTTCAGGCTTTTAGATCTATCCTCCAGATATTTAGACTAAAGACAAGTGTCTAGCAAGTATTACAAAGCTCACTAAACAGGTGTACTTGGTGTCAGACACATAGGCATTATCATTGGTTAAATTTGTGGAATGATCCCACTGTTTAAATAAGCACTACATATGAGACAAAGTCAGTTTCACAGTAAAGAATGCTATGCTACAGCCTTGTTAATTTTATCTTGTCGTGCTGATATTGTAAGACGACTACGGCTAACGCATACATGTGCGAGGCTTTACATCGACTGTCACTGATAGCAGTGACAGCCCAAAAGACAAGACAACTACTACACCAAAAGGAAATCTACAAATTCAGTAAATGTGCTAAATTAATAAAATAAAGTAATTTTGATATGACTTATTGGAGAAAAAACCTGAGGTTGAGAATTTAACATTACAGAGATCGAAAAATTTAAATTCATGGTGATAGTGGTGAGGTATTTTAAACATAGAAACTACTAACATATTTAAAATTCTTTTATCCACAACAAATCAATTAATACAAGTTAATATATGATAAAGAAAGAATTGAATTTACCGGTTACCCCAAAAATATGTATTTGAGTTATATACCAGGATGAAATAGCTGTTTAATACTCCATATTTTAGTGGTTATTAAGTTAAAGTCAGTTTGTGAATTTAACTACAAATTATTTATTATCAACAAACCTGTAAAACTAACTTGAAATTTGTGTATTATGACTATACTAATTATAAGTTACTAGAATTTCTTTTCTTGTGCTTTAATGGTTGATGTTCAACTGCTTTCTTATTGATTGACACAAAATTTATTTATTTAACCATATTAAACCGGTCATTTCGTGCTTGCAAGTATTAAGGTGTCTGCTGTTGTTAATTTCGCTACAGTGATTGGTACTGAACAATTATTGATGGTAACAGACATGTATTATGTCAAGAGACGTTCTCACTAAATCTCCCACTGGGTTATTGGGTATTAACGGTCACAAAAATACTGGGACACAAGAAATGCACTGAAAAAAAACCTACACCTTTCCAATCACGACCACTATCTTCACTTGGACAGTAGTCTTCGTCTTCGTCTGAATTGTACGAAGGTGTAGTTTCTTGACCTTTTTAGGATGAAAAGAAAGCAAAACTTGTCAGGAGACATAAACAAGGTTTGCTATGCATTATCACTAGACAAAAGACTATACCTGTCGTATCTTCAAGGAAATAACAAATACTAATGAAAGTAAGGGTTCTCGTTTATATTACAACAGAGCATTGCAAAGATGAAAACAAATATAAAAAGATCAGTACAAATAAAATGCTAAGTTCTATTTCAGAACAGAATGAACACACTTTTGTTGTAATGGTGCAGAGGCAAATTGTTTGGTAAGAGTTAGTCAGCCATAAGAAATTCACAAAGAAACGGGATGATATGACACGCAAAATAAACGTACCTACGCCTGTTACTCTTCTTGGAGCATAGGCCGACGACCAAGATTCTCCAACCTAATATGTCCCGGGCTCTCTTTTCCAGTCGTTCAAAAATGCTTTGTTCTGGCAATGTCTGTCTTTGATTCCCGGTGCAGCGTGTTATTTAGTCTGCTTCTTTTCGTTTTCTCCTCAAGATTGCAAGTCAGCGCTTGCTTTATGATGCAGATCGATGACGTCTGCAACGCATGTCCTACCCACCACCAGTATTTCCCTAACTTCCTCTTCAGTTGGAAGATGGTTTGTCCTCTCCCACAAGTTATTGCTGATGGTGTCTGGCCAATTGATTTCAAGTATCTTGTCTGGACAATTGTTCATAAATACGTGTACATCTTTGATTATGGTTGTAGTAGTTCTTCACGTTTCAGTTCCGTACAATAAAACTGTCTTGACGTTCGTATTGAAGATTCTCACTTCGAGGTTGGTTGACAACTGTCTTGAGTTCCATATGTTTTTTAACTGTAGGAATGCCAATCTTTGCATGTGCGTCTGCATTGGACCCCCTTTGTTCATCGATGATGATGTTCAAGTATGTGAAAATTCCCACCTCTTCCACAGTTTATTTATCAAGTACGATTTCGTTGGTGCTCACTGTGTTGTATTTCAGGGTTTTGCATGTTCCCTTGTGTATGCTGAGGTCTACCGCTTTAGAGGCTGCTGCTGGTATGTTGTCTGATCCAGCTGCTTCCCATCTCTTGATTTTTCCGATACTCTTGCTGATTTATTCAATTTTTGGTGAAGTAACAGGAGGTCTGTATGTGCTGATTTGATGTCCGGTGGGTTTAATGAGGGTCGCTCTATTCAAGAGTTCTTCGAAGTGCTCTAACTACCTGTTCCGCTGTTCTTGAATCGCAGTGATTGGTTTGCCTTTTTGTATCCGACTGGTCGCCCTGACTTACTGTTTTCTCGTCAGATTCTTCGCCGTATCTTACAGTTATCTCCTACCTCCCTTTCTTGAAGCTTTTTCCGTTGTCATTGCTAGGTTTCCAACGTATTTCCGCTTATCAGCTCTAATGCTTTCCTTCACCTGCTTCGGTTTGGGCACCCGGACAGTATCACAGCCCTTACACAAATCAAATGAGATATGTGTGGCGCATATGTATTTGGTGCCTCCTTGTACCAATATCTATGTGTTAAAATAAATAAATAAATATGCTTCTCTCCACTCCTTTATTTGCTTCTGTGTATTCGGCCTGTGCCTTGACTTTCTCTGCTCTTGTTCGGCTGTTGTTGAGTGCTGCCTTTTTGTTCTTCTTTTCTCGAATCTTTTTCAAGATATTAACAGAGATTCATTGTTTATGATGGTGCTTCTTGAGGCCCAGGACGTCCTCTTTAATCTCATCCCAGTTGTTCTTCAGTGTGGTTTCCTCTTTTTTAGTAGATCTTTTAAAGGTTGGGATATATTGCTGTGAACAATTTTGCATTCGCTGAGTTGGTTAGCACCTGGAAGGAAGGCTATATTGAACTTTTGTGATTTTACTTGTCCAGTTTCCCAATTCTTTTTTTATTTCATTTCTAGCTTGACCACCATCAAATAGGGTCTGAAACTATATCAGCTCCTCAACAGTCAAATTTTGTGATTACTTATCGATTGACATTGCATCATTGTATATCTTCTAGATCCATCGTTTTAATAAACTAAGACGTGTTCAACATCATTAACCTTAAAATAATTTTCCAGGTTGATCTTAGCCAGATCACGATTGAAAACCTGGAAGCACCGGACGATTGTTTCGTCCTAGTATGAGACGCCTCAGCAGTGCGTATCCACGATCCTGTACACGAGACTCAAACCCAAGTCAATGTGGCAAGCTGCATTCATTCACCTTCATCTAAATCTTCAGTATCATTTCTAAATTTCTATTCTTCTATCTCATTTGTTCTTTATGATACAGCGAAAATTCCCATTTAGACATTGAAGAAAAAGACGAATAGAGCGAAGTGATATTTCTTTTCAATTAATTTCTTATAATGGCCCTACAATAATACGTATATGACTCAGAAATAATAAAAAATACTAGCCAGGTGACATGTTAGATACTTTAACGAATCTGAGTGTTTATAAAAATAATTGGGAATGCTTAGCAAAACAATTAGAACGACAATAAAAATAATATATTTGTAATATCCCAATGAGTAGAAAATTGGATTTTCTGACGTTTCGTGGCTTAGTGTAAGTCACTTCTTCAGAGAATAAATAACCAAATTAAAATTAATCCAAGTTTAAATAGTACAACGGAACAATGCAAGAATAATATTTGATCAATCAAAAAACAGGTCTGAACAAGTTGATGTCATGTCATTTCTGTCAAGGTGATTCATAAGTGATAAGTATGTAAATTTGTGTGTGTGTATATATGTGCATTGTTTAAGAATGAAAACTTGTGTGACCTTTATGGTAAGAAAGGATAGAGTTTAAATTTGTAATATGAAAGTGTGAAATTGTAAATACGATCAGACTGAATGGTTAGGATAGATGGTCCAAGTAGGGTGTATGGTAAGGCCTTCTTTTCTATTGAGAGAAGTAGGATTAAGCATTATGTGGAACGCCTCAGCTACCTTCCTTTCTTTGTAGTTGGAAAAGCCTTTTTGCAATATTTTGATATTTTTAAAATCGATTTGGTGGTTGTTGAAAATGGCATGAACTGCTATTGCCGATTTGATTTGAAGTTGGTTCAATTCTACCGGATTGTTAGGAGGTTTCTTTGTGTACCTAATATGTTCTTTGGCTCTAGTCACGATTTCGCGGGATGACTCTCCAATATAATAGGCATCACAATCGATACAACCTAATTTGTAGACGCAGTTCTGTGTAGACATGAAAGGGATTTTTTCTTTCAGGCGAACTAAAGTATTACGTAGTGTGTTCGTTGTTTTGTAATACACTTTAATTCTGTGGTGTTTTAAGATTCTTTGAATTTCTTCTGTTGTGCACAAAGAATCAAAGAATCTTAAAACACCACAGAATTAAAGTGTATTACAAAAAGTGACGTGAATCATTTCGTTTTATATATGATTTTTCCTCATTTTCCGATTTCTCTAGATTGACCTTTATTTCTCCACACACATAAATGTGTGATTATATTCTATGGAATGTATTGCGTGAATATACTATATCACATAGTTCTGACAAACTTTGTTTCCTCATTACACTAACTCGGTTCGTCAGAGGGACCGATTACTAAAGAAAATAAACAAATGATAATACTTAGTAGGGTTTTTAATTGCTAAGATATCATAACAACGTTCACATTTCGATCGTACCTACATTTTACGTGCCGGTTTCCACTTATTTCTTATTATTTACAATAATCAAGGTTAGGTTTGCGCGAGGTCATATCTTTAAACTTAATTTCAGTGAAAACTGTAGTCCGATGGTTTAGACGATAAGCCATCACAAATGGATAGTGTGTTCATACGAAATTTATCCACATTTCGGATCTTGGGCTCGAAAGAATGGGCAAATTACCAACTCAGTCACACTATACATTCTATTAATATTATCAGCTAAATATGGAGCGGTGGCAAATTTTTAAAATACCCGATTTTCAATCAGTAGGTCCCACATTTGAACCTCGCTTTACCTTTAGGGATTCTTGTAGATCGCCTGTCCTCATCCAAAAAGTATGAGTTAAAATTAAGTAAATAAACTTGTAATTCGTGAATGAGCAAAATTAATCATATGTTACACGTACACTTCCGAGACATAAAATGGTAGAAAACTTACTAGGTTAGTAAACCCATTAGACACAGTTTTGACGCGAAAACTCAAAAATTACTGTTATATACCATATAGTACATGAAAAAAGGACTAAAAAACACACATCATGGTCAGACTAGGACTATTAGTTTCCAAATTTTCGACCCGATTTCGAATTAGTTGAGACGCTAAAGCAAACTATCAAAGAGTGACAATCTGGGGACTTTTACAGGGAAATTTGGTTTCAAGATTAATTGTCATTTACACAACACGAATCTATCTAGTTTACTCACCAGTAATTGCACTCTTCCAGAAACGTGAAGAATAATCTTGGTTGACTTCAAACTTATCGTCAGTAGTTTGTTCATTTTTCTGGAAATGATTTTCTACATCCAGCTCAAAGTTAGGCACACTTGTATCAACATCCTCTTCCTCCAACTGATTCTCTTCATTTGGAGTTGCACTGTCCAATAATTCAGAAGTATGGATAGCTAGATTAGATTTTGAGCGGGACCTAAGTAGATGACTACGCGATGAGCTTTTGCGACTAATAGTTGAGTCTTCTGAGGCATGTTGTTTTGAATAACTAGGAGTTGCAGTGGCTGAAGGAGGATCGGAAGATGATACATCTATAGACACCGGACTAGTGCTATGCGAACAAGGGACTGAGTGTGGATGTGGAAATACAGTGAGCTATGTAAAGAGACGGGATATAACATCAATCTTGTAAAATTTGCACCAAATTTTATTTATATTATTAGAAATAAACTAAGATAATTTATACAATAAATCATTCCGTCAATTGAGAGTGTGATTTTGAGGATTGAAAGAGATTTTAAAGGACAAAATCAAAATTAAATATGATCGTTGACACAGTTTATAATGATAATTTGACTGAGAAACAATGTACAGCTTCGTGCGCTAGTCTATAATCTAAACCAACTGTGTAAAAGATAAAGAAATAACTTTACTGTCTAAACTAATCGATTGTAAAGCTAGATCTTAAAATCAATAAACCAGATTTTTGACCCGAAACTAGTCATTGAATGGACACGAGTGATTTAAACGTTTACCCCTGAATTCCAATTGAAGCTAAATTGGTCAATGAATTTAAGATGAGTATTTAACTAGAAACAAGTCTAAATCGTGTTAGACCGATCTAAAAGTTCGTGAATTATGTGATTAGAGCGAAAATATTGGTATAATTTAACGACAAACAGAGCATCATGATATTTTCAATAGAGTTAATTATAATACAATATACCCATAAATCTGCTAGATGGACATGACTTAAACGACGACAGTGCGTCAATCTTTTTCCCGGAATTGTCTTACGTCTAGAATACAGCTTTCTGTCAAAACAATGATTTTAACTGGAAGAACAAATAATATATAAATTAAACACTGATAATTTATCCAAATAACTCACACAACGTAATGGAGGTGTATCGACTTTGTTTTTATCTACCAATGCATCAATATCTGACGATGAACGAATGGTTGGGTAATCAGCTGATGATACTGGTCTAGTTCCTCCTGTAGAAATATCATTATTTCCAATATTTAAGCAGAGAGATATGTGAGCAGCACGACGAAACTTCTTAGCTGGAGGTAATGATACCGATTCCTCCCGTAATGAAGCTAAACTTGAAGGAGTAACAGTGTGTCGAATGCTTTTTAAGCGCCCAGATTTACCTCTGGAAATGTTGCTACAGGAAACTGCAACAGAGTCGCCGTCTTTCCCGTAAGGGTTTGCAGGAATTCCGTATGTAGCTAAAAGTTCATCTAATGACATTTGACTTTCCTAAAATCAAAAGAGTAAACAAATCGCCAAGCACTAAAGATTTTCCTTACTACCTACACACATGTAAATAGTTAACGCAAAAATGAATATCGAAATAAGGGGAAAATAAAAACATGTATGAAACTTACATCTACTATACGAACTGTATGGAAAAACAATACAAATATTCAATGTAAGTTTTATGCAGATGCAGAATCTTACATCAGGAGGGGCTAAATGTGACGCCGTCCAAAATACTGAAGGTATGCATTTTTAGAACACTCACTAAAGTTAAGCTGATAATGTATATCTTTCATAATATGACTTTCAAAAATTGTGTAAGATATAACAGGGGTTAACTGGTATTTAAGTACTCTACCATATAGTGAATTTCGTGTACGACTGACTGACTTTCGATAAGAACGCATACAAGCAAACCCTACATAACCCACACTTCTAAGATTTTAAATCAAAACCGATGTTATCATTGGATTATTTAAACCAACTTTATATATGCAGAATGGGGCTGTGTATATGATATAATCACCAGTGCTAACGTACCTAGGTATAATGCAATACATTTAGACTTCCAAGAGAAATTTTTTTCCAATGGTGTACACATTCCT